TGCCCTCCCTGCATTAATCGTTCGGTTCCTGGCGATTGCCAGCCCCGGGGGGAGCTGGCGAGGAGCAGGGCGTGATGTTTCCTTCCCCATTTTAGCAAACATGTCCTGACCGAAGACATCGTGCACCGGGAGGTGACGCCGGACCACAAGCTGCTCTCTCGGCGGCTCCTGACCAAGACCAACCGGATGCCGCGCTGGGCAGAGCGCTTCTTCCCAGCCAATGTCGCCCACTCCGTCTACATCCTGGAGGACTCTATCGTGGACCCCAAGAACCGAACCATGACCACTTTCACCTGGAACATCAACCACGCTCGTCTCATGGTAGGCACTGGGCTGGGCGGTGTGTGGGGGGTGGAGGGGACCCAGCAGTGCCCACGGCCGGGCTGTGCCTCCCGCAGGTGGTGGAGGAGCGTTGCGAGTACCGGGTGAACCCCGAGAACAGCAACTGGACCGAGGTCAAGCGGGAAGCCTGGGTATCCTCCAGCCTTTTCGGCGTCTCGCGGGCCATCCAGGTGAGCTCAAGCAGTAAAGTTGCTGCTCGCCCCTGCTCTACCCTTCCCTTGTGCTGGTTTTACACCCTTTCCCGTTGTTCCCCCCTATCCTCATGAGCTCTTGAGGCACCCAGAACCATCACTGTGAAAGTCACTGTGATTTTTCCAAGCTAGGATAAAGCCCCAGGGACTGTGTGTGTGACAGGGCTCACACCTTCACTGACTTTTCTCTTGCAGGAGTTTGGTCTGGCCAGGTTCAAAAGCAACGTGACCAAGAGCACTAAGGGATTTGAATATGTGCTAGCAAAAATGCAAGGTGGGCACCAAGGGCAGGCTGGGGCTGAGCGGGATGGGTCTCTTGGAGTTAGAGGTCACACTGGGAACACTCCAGTCCATGGGCAGGTTGCTGCTTGAACTAATCTGACTGTGAAATCCTCACCCCTTGCCTTTGCCCTGTGTCTTGGCACAGCCTGCTCTGCCCTGAGTGGATCAGGCCAGCAGTGATTGCAGGGCCGGGCACGGGTGTTGTGCAGGCAGGAGGGGGTGGAACGTGGTGACAGTCACGCCCCTGTGGTTCCCCTTCGGACGTGCCCTGACCTGCTGGGGGCAGGAGCGCCGGGCTCATCTTCCTCCCCGTGTAGGGAAGTGCCGGGGTGGCAGGGCCGGTCTGGCCGGCACTCCTGGGGGGTTAATGGCTTCCATGTTGTAGGAGAAGCTCCATCCAAAACACTGGTGGAGACAGCCAAGGAAGCAACCGAGAAAGCCAAGGAAACAGCTCTGGCTGCTACGGAGAAAGCCAAGGACCTGGCGAGCAAGGCAGCCACCAAGAAGAAGCAGTACGTGTGAGGGGCCAGCTGCACCAGGACAGATAGGAGACTCCTTAGATTTTATATTTTTAAAGAAACTGTATAAGTCTGACAATCAGCTGCTGCTTGACCCTTTCTGAGATGTAATTATCATTAAAGAATCTCCTCCCATCTCTGATTTGGCTGAGGCTGGCCTGGCTAGAGCAGAGCCCAGGGCTGCTCTGCACTCTGGGGGTGCAGCTTTCTGCAGGGAAGACACAGGCCAGGGTTTTACCAAGTGCTTTTACTATCAAAGTGTCGGGTCTGTACAAGAGAGCGGGGTGGCTGCAGGAGCAGGAAGAGAGGTTCCTTAATGCACTCATTTCCCCTTCCTGGCGTTCCAGGGGCAGGAGAGCTTTTCTGTAGTCGTGTCTGCAATGGGCAGCACCGCCCTATACCCACACCAGGCAGCCCCCAGACTGCCCGTGGGTGCACAGGGGGAGGCAGGAGAGTGTCCTCAGTGACAGCTGGGCCTTCTTCCAGCACCTCTTCCAGTGCCTTGTGGTGCACAGCAAGTGCCACAGCGCAGTGCCAGCCCCACGCACCCAGTGCCACAGCCAGTGCTACCCAGCCGTGGGGGGTAGGGCTGGACTCTTGCCCCCATCTGTGGCCCCTTAGCCCGGCAGCTGTGCCGAGGCTGGCCGGG